TTCTTTTCTGGTGCTATGGGAACTTGATGTTCCTCCTCGGTTCGCCAGCAATGCTCCCAAATTAACCGCATTTCTTTACGTTTAAGGTAATGTGATTTCATGCTTGATTGTCACCCATTTGAAACACGCGCTTTGGTTCTGTCAATACTCTACACCACCGATTTTCCCTGATTTTTGGCAGCAAACGCAGCAAAGGATACCTTCGACTGGTGACCGACAAGTTGTAAACCGCGATTCTGGAACTCCTCTCGACCTCCCTGTTTACTTAGCTATCATGTAATTGTTTTGGAGGTAGAGAGTTTCTATGAAATGCGATTTCTACTGAAATATATAGCGCGTGAAGTTCTGCTTGCCGTACTATCAGTCGCCAGCACACCGGTCACTGGATACTCAAAAGGTCAATGAATCTACTGGAATTTAGTGGAAAATGGGTAAATCCATACAGGATATCATGTTCGAGCTGAAGCGGATTCCATTTGTTGACAAGGGAACCTGGTAGACACAGATGGCCTAAAAATGGAGTAGGCAGTTAGGATGGCTAACTTCCTCAAACTCTTTCATCCGATCCGTCTGTTGAACGGGCGTACAAGAGTGAGATTACCCCAGGTAACTAGAATGTGCCGATAATACTGGTACCATTCAAGAAAAGTTGCCGCAGGATCCATGCCAACCATAGGGCTATCAGCTCACCATAAGTAGTGGCAATGATGTTGACGTCCATCCCACACCACCGCTCTATTGCTAAACGGCAGCCGCTGGTTGTAAAAGGCAGTGTTCCAGTTGGATGGGTCCGTGTACCCTACTTTTACTCTGCAGCGCGTGTTAGGAAAACGTCTGTGACGACATATAACCGACCATAACTGCATCACTGCAGTGTAAGAGCATCTTCATTTGGTGCATTACAGGCTCAACCTTTCAGTTAGCGGCCGAGATCACGCCAACACCGACCGCGACGAGATTTGCATAGGTTATCCGAGCTTTAAAAGTTAACATAATGCTCACTCACGAAGGTACCAACACTGAGGCTGTTTGCATGTTAGACATTCTTGTTGATCGCTTCAAGCTTTTGACCCGAAAGACTGCGATTGGGGGGCACCTTCTAGCCAGTCCTTCCCATTTATTTTACACTTGGAATAATTAGGAGTTATTTCAAACTGTGGGATGACCATCATTGGACTACGCAGCATACTTCAAGGTGCTTTTGAGAAACTAATCATATGGTCAACATGTTACAACTCATCAATTCCATCGTGCGGAAACAGTTCGACGCCGCTGAGCCCACAGATTTTCCGATCACCCCCCTAGAGCGCCATATCATCGATGATGATGATGATGATGATGAAAGAGGCCGTATATGCACCATGCACTCATACACGATCTGAGTTCTGAGAGCAGATATCTTCGCGAATTTATCTCACCTTTCGGGCATCGTATGAGAAGACAACTTGACCAAGTCAAACGCAGTTCAAGGAAGATAACGATTGTTGGCCAACCGATCGTTTGATATCGCTCAACTATTCCGCGGATCACCATGATCGATACGTCTACAATATGAGCGAAACCCAGTTTACTCTCCGCATATGTGCTTTTTGCTCACCGGTCTAAAAATGCCAGAGAAAAGGCGGTGGGTACTTTGATTGCAATTTAAATGGGTTACTCCCTCGGTGAATACCGTATTCTGTTCGACTGTTCCTCTTGAATACGAGTACATCGTCTACCAAGCTCCAGTTTGGCATGATCAATTCCGCAATCCAAACTGTTTGAGGAAGGAAGTTATCTCAGGAATGAAGAAGGATTCTCTTTGAAAAAGCCCTGGGGGTTCACTTGAACTAGGGGCTTTGTGACGCCTCAAAAAACCGATTTTATGAAAAACGTTGACTTCATGTTTCCCCGTGGTCTTGTGGTTACCTGAGAGATTCTTTGTGGCACTAATGGTTCAATACGCAAGTCTGTGTTGAGGAGTCTGAATTGAGTCAACACAAATCTCACACAGCTTTGTGTTTCAGTCGAAGTTTCACCAGCATTGGCTCGGATCAGAAAGTGGTAGTCACTTACATTTCTCTAGACTGCTGTTTGTCCCATCGCAGAATGCTACATCCACAACGTTTCGCGATCATCTTGGAGAAGCTATGAGTTCAACCTTAGGGTACTGCACAATGCATTGCATTGAGCGTCTACTTTACTCCTTGGGCTTCATGTAATCGGAGAGATAATGTGAAGATTCATTGCTTGACAGCGTGTCCAAACCAAAGACAACACTAACGTAATTGTACAAAATGAGTCTTGTGTTCAATGCGTATCAGCTTCTGCGAATAGAGAAATCTTCAGATTTCATGCTAATGCGAGCAGCTCAACTACGTGCAACTGTTTCCAGTGACTGATGGGTATCGCTAAACACGCGAGCGGAATTAATACATAAACGTGTTATCCGAAATAAGTTTGGTGCTCCGCACTTATTTGCAATCCTTCATCGTCAGATGTTAGTGTTAGTGATATCGTCTATCCGTATTCACGCTTGGCCAAGTGATGAAAGTCATTGAAATCGCCTAATGCCAGCACTCGAGAAAAATGGTCCGCGGGAGTACCACGGCTATGCTGAACATCGAGGTCTTTATCATCCACTTCAACTTCACTGATCTGCTCTTTCGGTTCTCCGGTAAATACAACAGCATCCACACAGTTTATTTTACTGTGAAGGTTGGCGAGCTGACTGTAGAACTCTTTCAACGAGTCCTGGTTTGAGTCCGTGGGAGCATGCACTTCGACAACAAGTTAGCAGTGTCTACTGACTCCGCAGATAGATGAACCCAATAAATTTTCCAACCGACTTGCGCTACATCCTTTATGCAGATAATGTCATTACTGCGCTTGCATTTTTCTCAGTCTCTGTAATGACATGATCTGTAGCGTCAGCAGTCCCGTGTCCGGATACTGGTAATGCTGGCGTACTAACGGAACTCGCACGTGGTGAAGATGGTTGTGCGAGACAACAGCCATATCTAATGTGCGGTTTCCAAATTTTGAACAATAGCCGCTTATGACGCGATCAGTGTAATCATGCCAACATTGGATATATCCAAATTGAATCAAGTATAGACAACGGGAATTTCTTACCCGCACAGTTGGGCGACATGCGGCCATCAACTGCCCATCGATTCAGCTAAGACTTCCACCTGTGGCGGCTCAGTGCTGGAGGCCTGCATACGCGGAAAGTTACCAAGAATGATCTCACAAATGTAGAACGCAATCATACATTTGCGGTACTACGTGGTGGAGTCGGGCTCCTGCATCTCGGCCGATGATAACGTTTCCAAAGAGCAACGACAGAAAGCATCACATTGTTGGTCTATCGGTCCTTATGTTGTGCTTGCCGGTTGCCGAGCCCGAAAAGGCTAGGTTTTACCTGGGGTTTTGGACCTGATCTGCAAGACTACTAGGCGATTAACATAGGTCACGGACCGTTGGGAATCGGTAGTCAATGCCTCTGAGTCGTAGCAGCCATAGAATTCTGCTATGAAAGTGCGCATGGCGGGTGTTTCGTAGACCACCTATCTTGCCACCACACCAGCAGACCGTTGATAGCCAGATGGCCTATGTGCCCTCAGTGTCCGCATGGTGAACTCACAGAAGCAGTCGGCCATTGAACTTGCTCATTTACTCTCTGTCGTGTACTCACCTCTCGCAGCAGAACTGAGCGGTCGGTGACTCCGCCTACGGTCACATCGGCTTTGCTGCGATTTTCTATGAGCTTTGTGTTATTTGTTGGGGAACCAAGTGACCGAAGACAGCGCCATGGTTCCTCACGGTCGTCACTGCTCTAGGTTGATAAAATGTCTTGCTTACATGGTATATGACTAGGATTAATTGGGACTTTATACATTAGGGATTTTACCGGGAGACTGTGGGGCCAGATGAGTTCTTCGAGATTTGCCAAATCAGTAATTTGAAATTGTAACTAACATTAATTTAGCCTCGCAGTCAGTGGTACTTTTGTGAGTGGTCTGCTTCTCGTCATCATTGACGTCGGCCAGTGGCCGAACGGTTTACGCGCTTACCTTGCAATCCGTAGATCATCGGTTCGAATCCGCGTAGGTGCGGGCGATCGGGTCGATTGGCAGCGCAACATCGGTACGGTGTGCTGATGCACTGCTGATGCTCTTTTCTCTTATCACGGATCTAATCTAGGGCCTTTCATTCCACTTTTTTGTTTTTATCTCTCTACTTGTTTGCGCCTTGTTCCTCATTTTCATCTGGGTCATTGCAACCAACTCCATCGCACTTCGATACTCGTATCTCGGTTGACCATAGATCGCCAATCGTTGCTACTGCGAATGGTGTCCACGGCCCTCGCAATGTGCTTACTTCTCCGAGTGACTCCATCTTTGAACAGATTGCGCTCATAACTTTCATCTTTTAAACGTTTGATATGTGCTGTTGCTCCAATGTTTGCTTAGTCAGGTCAAGTGACAATCCCGTAAAGCACACTTGATCGTTGACGATATTCCTTGCGTTTGCCATTCTATGTTACGACGTTCCTACGGCAATGTCACGTGGAAGCAACTCTCGTCACTGCAACACATTGAGGATGCGTTCGATGGCTGTAAACTACCCATGTCTTTCTTCCATTTCCCACTGGTCTTCATCTTCGTTTACGCCGGATACAGAGTTAAACAGATAATGCCACGGAGCTACCTCGTACCCCTTTCTTGGCGCTGAGCCCCATGACCCTTCACGCTCCTCTGTTTCCAGTCGTTTTTTTAGTGTTCTCTTACCATTTTTCATCCGTAGTATTACAGCGACTTGGTCCACCGGCGCTCACTACTCGAATCTCAGTCAAGTAATTTAACAGAACAGTTAATTCTAACTGGTTGCCGTCTACCTTCCGTCGGTGATTGCCTCAGACCAGCCTCGTCTGTTGGTCCTATTTCTCATTGTACCCGCCATAGAGGCCACTGATGTTGGTGGTCGTCATCTAGCTTGTCTACTTTTCTCCGTTTCAGACTCTTCGGTCAACACTGGATCGCATGGACGAGCATAATAAGGAGACGGGCGAATTTGTGAGTTTCGTTTCACTAGCTTGGGTTCTAAGTACACCTTTCCTGATCCCCGTCTTTTTCTTGGTCATCATTTGTACCGTTCTCTGTTAAAGGATCCGAGGGTTTATAGAACGCAGTACCTTCTCCTACAGCATCCGGTCATTACATAGTTTTCTATAATTTGTTCATCACAGGTCAGCTGTTGGGCTTCTTCTGTCTAACGAACAGGCACACGTATTTTAGCCGCATCTTCAGTCACCGTTCTTCGTCTTGGCACTCCGCCACTGTCAACACTTTGATAATGTCAGTGCAGTTGGGCCAAGGCGGTCGGGCAAACCAATTAGTGTCCGACCTTTCCTTAAAACTAGCATACGGGAGATCCTGTTGCGCTCCCTGTCTACGTCTATGCAGCTAAATCCTCTATTTACAGCAAGTCCATCCATGAGGAGAATTAGTGCTTGTTTTCCTCGAGAACGCGTTGAGACTTCCGTTGGGCTTACTTCAGAAGTGTTATGTTGAAAAATCTGCTTAAACCCGCCACGCCGTGTGACCCAGAATGATTCAAATGAATTGACTGCAATGAAACGGATAACACCGAAGTTTTTAATGACACCGGAACGAACATGAGGATGGGCGTTGGGGAATTAGCCTATTTCAAAACGGAGAGGTAGCGCCAGACTTACGATGACGAATTGCACTACGGACTGTGTGTGTATCCAGCATCTAGACTGCATACCGCAGTCCGTCACATGTTCAGCTTTTATGATTTTTGCCCTACACGCCACTATAGTCTGTGAAGGAGGAAGAACGGAGCAGTACAACTGGCATCATTATGTTTTCTTGCTCACAGCAGTAGCGGTTTCGTGTTCACAGCCAGTTAAACGTCAGGCGTCTTACTTTGCCCTCGTCACTTCACGGTTAACTATCTATCCACCTGATTCTCTCTCCTGAACTTGACCTGGATGTTCTCGCATCGCGACCGACATGAAGAGATTGGCCGAAAGGCTTGGTCAAGTTAGTGTATGCGGTCTTTGGGGATAGAGACCTCAGAATAGGTCACACCAATGGTTGGTGACCCTATCGGACATGGTGCAGTCACGGACTTTAGTGCCGCCGCATCCGATTTCCTACATCTAACGGTTAACATTCCATCCTTATTGGTTTTGCTTACTTCTGACTCCAATTTGCAATCTGTTTGCGTTTTGTCTCATTTTCCTCACCGTTGTTAGTTATTGTTATCTTACCAATGAATCACAACAACTGGGTCCACCGCAGTTCGATGCCTGGATCAGATCAGTTTAACTGAACCGCTATTTTTCAGTTGAATGCGTGCCTCGCCTGTTTACGAAAATCCCGATCTGACCTATTATTCTGGTTGCCTTTTGTTTTCAATCAGATCGAAAATAATTTTGCAATAGAAGGCGCGCAGCTGAGCAAGTGGCAAGATATTTGTTCTCAAAGTCTTGTTACTTTCGGGCAAACTCTATCCGAGGTCAATTGTGAGGCCATAACTGAATATCAACAATTCCACTCATCCAGTCTTGCAGCTCTGAATCAAGCGAACGAATCTCTTGGTACTCTCTCCACCGAACACGATCAATTGCAACAAAGTGTTGACTTATGCCTCAATCATTTATGCAAGCAAGCTGCAGCTTTCTCCACTGAAGGTCTCGGGGCAGTGTTACGTTTCAGAGCCAGTCAGTGGAAGAAGCCGTGTGCGGATCCAGATGAATCAAACACTGAACATGCGTCATCCAAGCTGAGTGAATTCGTGGGTACTATAGCAAGCGGAATGACCGCTCTTTCCGAAACAACAACCGCGAAAGCTCTAGGTGTGGAAAATATGGCTGGGGATGTATCCTACGATGTAAGCCAAGTTCTATACATTGCTCGTTTCGTCTCATTCTCTCATTAGTTTTTAACCATTGTCGTCAGTCTGTCTAATGTCGGCCTGGTTTAAAAAAGCATTTGCACGAATGATATCGATAACATTCTACCATCGATAAGTGTTTGTTTGTCAGCACAGACCTACATCAACTTATGTTTCACCTTCTATAGACCACCTTAGATTTTTCGAAGATCAAAAACAGTCTGGACACCGTTCCAGAGGATCTGGATGAACAGTTGAAAACCGATTTCCAGTGCTATTTACCTACGGGTCGAACGCCACAGCCGAAGACGTTCAGCTATCCGGAGAACCTCGTCCAAACTGCTCCGCATAACCAATTACGCCGCGTGTTTCGAGAAGTGCAGCTTGAGAAGGGGCTGGAACAACTCGCACTGACCCCACTTCCACGCGATTCTTTCGAAGGGAAGAGAATTGGTGGTAGTCCTGTCAATCTGAATGAGTTCCAGGAAATCTTCGATTCGCCTCCTTCGAAAAGCGACCCCGGTAGCACTAGTGGTGTGGTACGTTCCAACACTTACTTGTCTTACTCCAATGAATCGTATTTATCCGACCGTCGGTATTTATAAGTAGACCTTAACCGGCGTCATCTTTTTCAAAACCTAGTTATTTCCCTTCAATTCTTTCGCATTGAATGCATAACGCTTCGATTTCGGAACTTCAGCTTAGCTGCTGAGCAATCTCGCTGTCTCACAGTGTCCCTATCGTTCTTACGTTACACACGCCTTCACTCCATTAGAGTTAGTTGTCTTTGCACCTGGTTCAGGTACTTGAAAGTTCTGCTTCTTCTTCTTCAAGTTTTTATCTGCCTCACGCAGTGTTACTGATCTCGATGAGCGGCCAAAATAACTTGCAATTGTTCCGAGAATATCTATCATAAGCCTATCATTTCTTCCTTCTGGTTTCCTTGCCTCCGTTATCTTTTCGAGTACCGAGATTTACTGCATGATGAATGCTCACTTTTTTTATTCTGTATCATCATAATTACCGATTGGATAGAGCATGTCTTTCTGACCAACTATTCCTATCCAAAGTTACACCGAGCTGCACTCCGCGCTGTTCCTGGATACAACAATCTGAAATACAATAGAACCACCGAAAATGACCACTCCTGTATCCTGAGCACCTCTCTAAGCTGTCCGTTTTATCATAACTTGAATGTTCACCATGTAAACCCTATAGAACGAAACCTCTGTATGCTGACCACTTGGACCATAACAGCCACTATTAATTCAACCTCTATTAATTGGTTAAGTGAGGGTTGTTTGTTCAAATAATAATGTCTATGTAGCGAGATTTTGCAGTGTGCGAAATTCTCGTTACCCACAATCACTGCACTAAATTGCGGACATTTCATGATACGGCGTCCACAAATTGATCTTAGTCCTTTTGTGTGTGAAATCATTCCTCAAACATACACCTATCACGCCTACACTTTGAAACATGTGTCCACGCATTGCACAGGTCGCAATCAAGATTGAGTGCCTGTCTAACCGTCGATTAACAGGTTCTAAGCTAGCCTATTCAACATCCAGCTCATTAGCCTCTTGTATTGTGGCGACATTGACTTTTACGTCGACAATGATCGTTTAGCGCATATCTAGCACTATTTGTTGTCGATCTAAGAGCACAGACAATTAGAATTTGTCAAAGTTGTGTTTGGAGTACCCACCGTGTGGTTGAATTGCTACACTCAATCTCTGTTGTGGTTCGTTATTGTATGTAATTAGTGTTTTGTAAATAGCACCCTAGGTCCTGTATCCACTCCGTGCTTTGAACAATTTGGGATCGATTATTACGCGTACGGCAGCGTTATGGTCGAAATGAAACATTTCAGAGAGTTGACATTGAAGAGGAAGATTTATCTACTGCATTTTTTGGAAAGCGGTAGTCAAAGAAAGACGGCAAAACATTTTGGTGTCAGCAAGAGAACATTTAGAAACATCCAACCGCATAAGCATGAGTACTTGGAGAGGTATGAAAATGAGGAAGAAGATCTGCAACAGCGGAAGAGGCAGAAAACTTCACACTATGAAGTCAATGAAGCTCTGCTGCGCTGTTCCAACCAATTGGGGACAATTAATGCATGAGTCTCCGAGCCGATGATTCAAGAGCTTGTGTTACAAACTTCCTAGTTGGATTTCCATTGTCCTAGTCTGAGCGGACGAACCCTTTCACTCGTTGGTTCCCACGCGCAGAGTAGCCTAGACGATTCGAATTGGAACGATTAGTGGACTTAGCCGGCAGAAGTGAGCTCGTAACTAAGGTGCTTGACGGAATGCATAAACCCCGCACAACTATACCGAGATTTGGAGAAAGAACACTGGCCAAGAGTAAGAGCGGTTTTACTGACAACCTAAAACAATAATAAATGTATAAGCCGTAAGAAAGCCGTACGTTTATCGGCACATGAGTTGCCATGTAATAACCTATCTCCGGCCAGAGATGTGCGGGGCCGATGCTGTTGGGACGCTGGACACATCACAGTTGCTGATTGTGCTCGGTGGCTAAGGCATTGGCGTGAACACAGCTCAGGAGACAGACTGCTGACTTGAGGAGAAACCTGGAGATAGGATAGTGAGACTGGTGCGAGTTCAGTGAAAACTCTGAAGAATACATTGACCGTGTTCTCACTGAGCATCACTCCATTATGCTTTTTTCAGCTGAGTGGACCAGTAGCGGCAGTTTTCATAGGGAGAACTCCTTTCTTAGCTGAGTGGTTTAGACCTCTGCATAATGACCATGTTCTTCGGGCCCTATAGTGTCCTAACGCCGATGAACTCCTGGTGAGTTTGACAGGGCTGCGATATAAGATATATCAAACAGTCCTGTGTGATGAATCCAATGAAGTTCCTAAAGAATTTGTCCAGGAATATCGTCGAATAAGTTCCCGACTTCAGGAAGGTTTTCATCGATGATGACACATTTAGCGCTGACGAGTGCAGTCTCTTTTTTCAACGCGATGCCTGACAGAAGCCTTGCTATAAAGACTGACAAATGTAATAGCGGAAAGCATTCCAAAGAACGTTATACAGTTTTGCTGCTCGCTAGCTCAGGTAGAGAGAAGCTAAAACCCTTGGTTATTGGGAGATCAACTAGGCCAAGTGTTCAAAAACCTAGAGATCAAACAAATCTGCATGGGTGACTGCTGACATACTTGATGAGTGGATAAATTGCATCGACCAAGGAGTGATGAAAGACAAAGGACTCGTTCCACTCACAGTGGATAGCTCCTAGTCATATTATTGTCAGAAATCGACCGAACATTCCGCTAACATTTCTGCCTCCAAATACAACCTCTGGACTAAAGAATCATCAAAATGGTCAAAACGCACTACTGAGCTCAATTCATGCAATGAGTTGTAGTAAAAATGCATACAGATGACCCGCATGTGACAATAACTTCATCTACTGTGTGAGTTAATCTCTTGGACGTTGTGCTTTAGATAACTTCACTTGGCAAACAGTTCAACCAGTAATCAAACAAAAGTGTTTCAAGATAGCTGGATTCGTTCAAACTCTCGAATACCTTAGTAGAATTGGAGGGAATAGATTAGAAAGGTTTTGTTGGAATGGATAATGACGGCAACCTGCACTGAACCAAACCCAGTTGCTATTTTCCAAGGAATGCGGTACACCACTACGGGAACAAACAAGAAGAACTAAGTGAAGTCGACAGGGAAATCATAGAATCTCCAAAGGAGGATGCATTTTTTAATGCAATTGAATTCAGTTGTGAAAATGTCCAGGCCTACTGAGTCGTGTAGCTTGTGCTAAGCGCTTTTTTCACTCACGTTCGTGATAAGTGAAAGAAACAAAACTGTTTTCGTTAAAGAAAACAACGTTTTGGTCTCTCACAGAATTGTATGATTGAATTATGTTTGCATTTATATACGAGCTTAACTAATATATTCGAAAAATGTGTACATGAAAATACATTTCATAATACACTACTCATGACGGGAAAGTAATGCGCACTAGCTTTTGCATAGGACCTCCACCTCCTCAAAATTGACCACTTTGGTTCAATCTCTTGGGTGGTCAAGTTACGGAGAATTTACTGCAATTACGCAGTTCTTTCACGGAATATCAGGCTTACCAAAACTGCTTGACTACCACCCACGCGTCTCAGTTCATACTTCGTGCGCATACATCACTGAGCTTATAACGGTTCTTACCAAGCTGACCGCAGTGTGTCCATCCTAGTGATTTTATATGAGAAGAGCGGTTTCATTGCATGTGCTAACCCCGGGAGTATTTACCCTAACGCTGATAGTAACAAAATCCCGGATTATTGGAAAAAACGCAGGGTTCCGCTTTAGACAGAACTGTATGGACCGTATATTCATTGCTACAGCGTCACACGTATCGCAGGCCAACAAAAGCTTTGGTCCTTGACTTCAAGAATGCGTTCGACTCAGTCGATCGCTGCATTCTGTTCGAAATACTTGTGCGGAAAGGTGTTCCCACGAAATATGTGAACATGTCACGTGTCCTATACACCATACGCCACGTCAGGGTCTACGGCGACTTATCGGATGTCTTCCCGATAACATGTGGCATTCTTCAGGGTTGCCCAAATTTCCAATTTTTTTCAACTTCCTCGTGGGCTCCATCATGGAGTGTTCCCTTGCGTAATCTCACCATGGTAAAGTCATTTGCTCTTGATTACGTAGGCGATATCGTCTTGCTGTTTAACGATGCTGGAGTGGCCCAATCAACCCTGAATACTCTCTGGAGTGGGCCCCATCATTCGTCATGCGCTTCGCACCTTCAAAGTGCAGTGTTGTTGCAAGACCACCAGTCACATGATTACCCTTCGATTCTTATGGACGATGAACTGGAAATAGTTAACCAACTCACCTATCTTGGCAGCTGCATTAGCGGCGATGGGTGTATGGCTGCAAAAGCCAGAACCACCTTGAATTTGTGGCTTCAGAAGTGGGTTTCCCTCGGTCTGAAATACCGTGTTTGCAAATCCGCAGTGGCTGCCGCCCCACTGTATGGGAGTGAAACTTGACAACTTCTTAGGATCTGTGGCGCCTTTGAGCCTTTGATCGTCGCTGTCTGTGGAGCATTGCTGGTGTCGGGTGGCACCAGCGTGTCTGCAACGAGGATTTGCGTGGGGAGTACTAGGCAGTGATAACCAAGCTAGTTCCTTAGAGCAACAGATAGCACTGAATAAGTTGCGTTGGCTTGGGCACATATTACGTATGCCCGGTCACCACTTACCGAGGAGGGAATGTTTTGTTTGCCAGAGGTGTAGGGTGGCGCAAAGATCGAGGTTGGTAAAAGTTAATCTGGTAGTGAGAAATGAAGTCAATGACTACAGGACTTGGTGCCGTTGGTCTGTCTCGCATTCCAGACTGCAGTTCACGTGACCCATTTTGTGTTTGGCTCGAGACGTTACAGGACATTGCTCGCAGCCGGCACCAGTGAGGTATCTGCTGTCATCGCATAGTCGGATTACCTGTTGTAAGTGTGTTTGATGCCGAGTTATCTGTGGCATAATGACTGATTATGACGCAGGGCAGTAGACGCCGCAAGGAAGCTGACTCGCCGATGCCGCCCTATCTTTGCACGATAGCCAGCTGTTTGTTGCTGTAGGTTGTTGACAAGGTGTAGGCGCATTGACCCTGAATGATTGCTTTGAGTATCAATATTTTAAACTAGGCCTCCCTTCTCTTCCTATTATTATTCCTCCTTCTTTAAGTCATTGTGGTTGTGCAGCAACGAAGCATCAGTTCAGATGGCTGATGTGCTACTGTTGACGTTGATGATGGTGCCAAGCGTTGCAATTAACTAGGCTACTTGATCCACCTTTGGGTAATGGGTAATTTGACGTAATCCACGCGTCTGTTCCGTCGATACTATACTCAGCCTCGATCCTTCCTTGTTATCGCACACATCGCTAACCCAGTTTACTTTGGAACAACCGCATTCCATCTGGAGCTACGCGAACCTGAGCCACTGGGTATAAGCCTTGATTTTCGCGGAATGAGAATCCCAGTTGGAAGGCAGAGGTGATTTACCCTTGCGTTGGGTCGCATCCTTTGATTCCGTTGGCTGTACCCTACAGAACCTTAGTATGCTTTTGCTTGCAACCCAAAATACACTTGGGCTTATTCATTATCGCATCGCTGGGGAGATAATCTTACTCTTGCATACGTTGCACATCGCGATGAAGCTTAACCTTTACTTGTCGCCACTGTTCTTGAGATCTGTTGAACTGCACTCGGATGTGTTTTTCTGTTTCCTTCAGAATCACTCCCAGCAGACATAGCAATGGAGAGTCTGTATATCTCAGTCGCTGCGAGATGTCGATGATCTTATTCCATCAACACTTATTCTTAGGAGACAACAGTCAACTTTTGAGCTCAGCTCAGCTCAGTTGATGCTGTACACAGACATCGCTTGTTGCCTTCCAGCGATGGAGAGAAATGGGTAAATAGATTATCTTATGTAGCAGGTTAAAGCCGATATACCCTACTTTACGCCTCCAATGAACCCTCACATGGCGTCGGCAGAAGAAACAGCTACTTTAGGATTTCAAACTATACCATGCCACCACGGGGCACTGTCAATTACCAAGAAATAGGCCTCTAAACCAACGTAGATGGCTGTGTTTGTTCGTCGTATGTAGGGCGTCATTCTGGGATCTGGAAGCAAGAGAAGACGCTACTTCCAGACCTAAGGATGATCAGAAGTTTCGTTGTTAGTATTTTGGTGCATTATTTCGTGAAGCAAAGAATGCCCATTTCACTGGAAGCTACCGAATACTTTTAGTTCGAAAAGCCCTTAGTAAAACATTGGTTGAAGGTAATTGTTGCATTCTCCGGTACAGCAGCCAGATCATTGGGCAGAGTGATTTTTACGAACTTTTAAATGGCTCTATCTTATCGTCTTCACTAACTTAATCCCATAAAGCACGTTTGGCGCTGGCGTTTTACCTTCTATTTTCGAAAACGTCTGGCGCGAACCTGTCTTCTTGAAGTGGAGTAAGGTGCCTGTACCCGAAACCTTCCGTACCTGTTTAGGGATGATGCAATTCACTCGGTCACTAACCACTCAACCTATTGTATGTGTACAGTTTCAAACTTGGAGTATACACTCAGTAACTTTCGTTTTGAGTTGCGACGTCACAACATACGTCCAGAGCAAAACCGCTCTGGAAACTCGGTGGAAAGTGAACCATCCTGCTGAGTAACTGACTAGCGATTACCATGATGTTGGTGCTTTATACTCTGGTTCAGATATTAGTCATGACAGTGAGCATGGCAACATTTCCCATTGTTCGTCTGCCTTGTCGAACTTATATGAGCTTATGAAAGGGCAGTTATTATATGTACTATGCAAGCAACTTCAGCCAATCGATTTTCAGCTATCATCTCCGTCCTTAAACGGTATGGGATGGTGTTCAGGATTGATTGAGGTCACTGTATGGTCATTATTTCAGAACTGCACACTGGGGTCACTCACCTCCTGTGAAGTGGAGTTACCGATAAACTTCAGCATCAACTGGAGTAAGGTTTATCATATATTTGCATTTCTCAAATGCTAAAGCACCGACTCATATACTGAGGAACGACCACAGTGCTTCTTCCTACTTTGAGCTCCACCTTTTCTCCAGTTGGTCTTGCCAAGGTTTTGATGTTGCTTGTCGTTGAAGGTCGTATCAACAAAACTATTTTTCTATTCCCATCATTACTGCGACTCCCTACTCCAAAATTCCGTGAAAAACTTTCTCTTTAGTTCCCCCTAGAAAGTGGAATTCAGATAGTTGCATTTTGTACGTGCTCTTTATTCTTTATCAAAATGATCATATTTGGCTCTGTCCCCTCCAGCTTTGTTTGTGATTATAGTTCTGAGTGATAACTCACTTACAAACTTAGTGCACGGGAACGACAAAATTCTGTTCAATCGCCTCTGATTATCAGACTGACGTAGGAGCGATAGCGCCTCCAGATGGAGCACCGAGCAATAAATACTGAGGTCCGTCTGTTGTTATCAGGAGTGCCTCACTTATCTTCGGTTGAACTTGAACTGTCTTGGGGGGGGGGGGCGTATTCTTTCAGAAGTTGTGCCAGGCCGAGCGAACTCATGAGTTAACTCTCCGCTTACATGACATGCCATTTTCCGGAATGTTTGCCTATTTGAGGTGGGGTATTCGTTTAGTTATTGGTCCCCTTAAATCCGTCTATTTGCATCTAATTGCTAACCTGTCTAGTTCTAAACACTCCTCCGTTGCATTTTTCTCGGTGTCTCGCTTTTTTTCACTGCTGTTCATATTTGCATTCGTAGTTCTGCGAGTCTTAGCAATAGCAGATGCCGCGTTTTTCGTGCTAGGTTTATTGTTGTTTAACTAATTTGTATAGCGTGCGTTGGTTTTACTTTTGATGAACTAGATTTTGCCCTATTCGATGGCCGAGTGGTTAAAGCCTCTGGCTTGTGTAATACGCAGCTCTCCGGTCCCAGTCTGAGCAGTTACTAGTGACTTCGCAATATCTCTGGCCCGCACGCGACAGGTAATGGTCGCATGACAGCGAAGTGTCGATACGACGTATCAGCCCATTGCTTCCGTCTTATTCTTTTCTTCATTTTATACTAAGCTATTCCTTGGCAACAGCCGTGTCGACTTCGGTCACCCGTTTTTATTTGTGGTTGTCTCAGGCCTACCGAATAACTCAGATTACTAGATGTTTCTTCATGATCGTTGATCCTCGAGGGAAGTGCGCTTTCTCCGAACGCGCAGGTATAACGAGGTGACAAAGATGCGATTGCATCTTGCACAGGGTGGGCTTGCAACACCAACAGTTTATTATCCCTCCCATTTCGTCGTGCTTCTGAGTGGTAGGTACATGTGTGGTAACTCTTCCCAATCCTTTAGTGTCCTCCAAGTTTACGTTTACGTTTCTCGGGAACATGAGACTGTCACTACACTGGCTGGCACGCCATTCTCTACTTGCATGGACTGTTGGTCGTCAGAGGATGGCTTTCGTCACGATGCTGTCACTCATTGACCCAACACACTGACCCGTTGCTAGAGGACCCCATAGGTGCATAGCGCTTGCGGTTAACGATAGTCCCTGACATGTTTTTTGTGTGTATTGTTTCCCATCTACTGTCCTTGTTTCACCTATTTCTTTACCCAGCATTTCGCCCTGCCTGTATCTCGACACAATCGCTGAAGTTTCCGGGTACCTTGTGAACGTATCTAATGGGAAAGTGAATGGAATGGGTTTCGATGCTGCTTACTCCTCTCCACAATGCAGTATTGAAAGCGTGCGACACCGAAACCCCTCCACTTCGGATATGGTCCTAGTGATCGGAATGACCGAGGTCTCACTAGAGATTACCTATCACAACCCCAACACATGTGCGTACTCCAAATCTCAACTTTGAATTCCTAATCGCTGTGCCAAGTGTTGCTCACGGATTTCAGTGGACTAGTGTTCAAGGCGTGAGACGTTAACCAGTAGACCCCGAGTTCCGCTCCTAACTCAGGCTTTCTCTACCTGATGAGTCTAAACGAGGGCGAAACCGGTCATGGGGTGTCAGTGTTGGGAGGGAGTAACACAAAAACCTCTCCATTTCGGTTACGACCTTGGTGATTGTAATAACCGAAGTCTACTTCAGAGAAAACCAATATTGCAATAGAGATTGCATGTCACGGTCCAACCACACATCGTGCACTCCACAGGCCAATTGATGATGAAGTTTTCTATGAACCAGTGGAAGCGTTTCGATGTGAACTTTATTAGAGGGATGATACAGCATCCCGTTTAGTTAGTCGATTTTTCTACTTACGCAATACTTATCAGATCCCCCTTTTGTAACACAATCGCAATGGTTTCTTTTTCAGGGCTCTGAATCCGCATTTTCCGAGTTGCTTACCGACCAGGTAAGTCACCTTTCCCCATCCAACTAGATTTACTTATTCTCTAAGGGCCAGTTTGTCGTCTGTTTGCAAGAACATAAGTGGAAAGTTTTAACCATTTGTCCTCGCATTGCAAATACCCCTCCGACTCTCTCTGCTCGCTGTTCAATCACGCGGCTTCCTTACGAAGGTGTCCGCTTCCACGACTGGCTTAGCTCCAAGAAATAGTACCGTCTTCTGGTTATTTGCAGCCTTTCGACCACTCGTTTGGTTGTACATTTCGTTTACCATCACCGATTTTGATTCCGAGCAGTTTGCATGGGTCGGTGCCTCCTTAGTACTTGAATGTTTCCAGCCAGGAACCGCTTCTTTCTGTATGATTTTCGGCATCTAACTTGCCATTCCTTTGTTTTTGTTCACCCTCTCTAAACCACCGTCCCCGATACTTCTTACACTTTCCACTCTAGATAACAAACTCACTTTATTTAACACTTATAATCTGCTCTTCTTGCCCAAGATGATCGCTTCACACACTTCGTACTCATCAGATGGGGTAACCGGAAGAAAGCGCACAAGAAAATTGCAGACAGCAAAATGCGTCCAGACATAAAACCGGACACTAAAAGTGGACACATTTTCTCAAGCTGTTAACATGGTCACACATGACCGTATTATTTATGTATTGTTAGCGGCATCCGGTTTCGGATTTGCCTGTCACTGTGGCAAGTCACAGGACGCCTGCGCCTACAGAGGGATCATTGGTGGCTTTCACTGCATCACCCACAGCTCCAACCACACACCCCATATCCAGTGTAGACTCGAAGGAATAAGACCGGGAGGCATGCGGATGGGAACCACGTTTCATCAACAGAGCCGGCGCACACTCCTTCACAGACAAACACAGGCACGTTGTATTTGGGGAATCAAAGGCACACAATGCGGTGGCTTTACCGTAGTCCGCTCCAAACTGAGTGCATGGAACCACTCTTCGAGCCTAGCACGACCACAAGGACCGTGCACCCCGTCCCCTCTAGTAACGACCAACTGTCTCCTGGAGCCAGTGTGGAGGAGGTAGTGGGTAATAGACAGGTAGGCACCTAGTCAACATGCATATCAAGCGCAGCCACACCGGGGATATCAAACAACAGCCAATCACTTGAAGCGACGACGTCAAATAAAATAACTCAAATAATGCATGCAGATACGGTGACGTAACACTTCAATGGAACAATGGTTTATTACGGGTAAAAAAGCATCGCTTAACAAGTCCCGTGGAATGGAAATTATTGCGAAAATCAATTGCAAAATAAAGTGAAAAGCGTTGTGGTGGACTCACCATAGGCTTATGTGGAATAGCGGAGATGTTCGCGTATTAAACGTATAAATCCATCAATCCATTGGTTAGGCGTTTGGCAAGACACCGTTTGATTGCGTTTTGTAGCCCCTGGCTAACAAGTCATAAAATGAAATGTAAGTGAGAAAATGCATCGTCAACACGTTTTTTAAATATCGCCAGATTGGGAGCAGAGACGACATAATTAGGGAGGGCGTTCCAAGGCTGGCACACGCGGAGAGAAAAGAAATTTCTAGGCATTCAAGCCGGCTATAATGAATTGTCAGTTTCAGAGCGTGACCTCTTAGTTTAGTGTTGTGGTTCAATTCCAGCAGCGGACGGCAAATGTGGTTTGGATTCTTCAGAATCTGGTAAACCTTTCTAGATCCCCCGCAAAAGCTGATATCGACTACTGTATATTCTTAGAGATTTCAGTTTAAGCTGATAGGGCAGATGAAAGAGGCCCCTGACGTTCTTGGTTGCCCGTCGTTGAGGAATCTCGAGAGCAACGAGATCCTGTTTCTGCCACGGCTGCCACATCTGAATAGAATATTGCACGTGAGGTCGCACGTAGGCGTTAAGCATTTGGGGAAATATTGACGGTTCAAACCGACCGAAGGCTCTGCGAAGAAGGCCGAAGTGTTGATTTCCGGTTCTCCTCGCCTTCTCTGCTTGTTTTGAACACCCGAGATTTTCCTGTACCAATACACCCAGGTCACGCTCCTGATAAACCTTCGCTAAGGTGTGGTCTCCAATTTTGTAAGCGCTCCCCTGCTGGTGACGCAGATGCATCACTTTGCACTTAGCCATGTTCAATTGAAGCTTGTTCCACTTTGACCATTCGTAAATGCAATCTAGGTCATGTTGGAGCAGATCATGATCTGCCTTGTTACTTATCGCCCGCCATATCTTGACGTCATCGGCGAAAAGCAGGAAGTTTGAGGAGATGACTCTTGCCAGGTCGTTGATAAACACCAGGGATAAACGCGGTCCCAGCACTGAGCCTTGTGGGACACCACATAAATGAGCATATGAAATAACTTGGTTACGGACAAATCCGCAGTAATGTTAAGACGTCACAAAATATATTTTAAGAAACTGCTATAAACGCGGAAACGTTATCGAAGTTATGTAAAGCAGTTTAAGAGACGTGCACAAGTTTATAGAAGAAAGGTCAGGTAGACATTAATATGAGGTATAAAAAGCATTAGGATAATATAGAAAACTCACCACCTGAAATAAATAGACTCATCATGCAAGCACACGGATAATAAATCGAATACAGCATACTTACAAACGCTGCGCCGGTTCTGCCTACGTTCCCTGCGAGGCCCGTCTTCGCTTCAGTGGTGGCCTCGCTCATGCCTCACTTAACTTACCTGACTCAGTCACTCGCGACTGCACGTGCTACAGCATCATGCGCTCGATGTCGATGGAGTACAACCCATTGGCGCCTGTCGCTTTCGCACTTGCCGCTTCTTCTCTGCATACACGAGGGCTTTCTCTTGCACCTCGGCAACTTCCTTCGTGATTGGCTCCCACCATGCAAGCCGATCAACCGTCTCCGATTCCCATAACATGCAAGCAACATTAGAACGTGAGAGGCTCACTTTGATCATGTCTCGTATATCGTAACGTCGGTTTGCTCACGTGCCGTTTCCCTGCACTCGGCCATAAAGCAACTGTTTCGGTATCCGGGTCGAATCCATACGGCGAATATGACCGAGCCACCTCAGGTGCCTCAGCAGAATTATGCAGTCCACTGCATACATGCCTCTGAGTCGGAGCACCTCCTTGTCTACATCTCGGTCACTCCAGCCGATGCGCATAATACGGCGCAGACACTGCTGATGGAAGCGCTCCAGATATCTGTCATCCTTCCGATAAAGCGTTCAGGTTTCACTGCCGTATAGAAGAACGGACAGCACCATAGACTTAGATACCAGCAGCCGCCTTCGATACGCGGCTGCGCAACTCGCACGTCATCTACTGGTCAATTGTTATTACGCTACCAAGGTAGCAAAATCTCGAATAGATTCCCAACACTTCCACGGCAATCTGAATTTCGAGCAGGCCCAAGGACTCCATTGAAGGTTGGAAAAGACAGTCCTGTCTGTCTTGATGCTGATTCCGTATTTGGCCCTTGTCGAAGCCAGAGCACAAGTCATGTGCTAAACTCATCCGCGCTATGCGCAAACAACGCACAGTCGTCAGCCAATAGCGACATACGGATAGTTGTCTCACAAACTGGGGTTCTCGCACCGAAACGACGGATGTTCAGCAACCCACCATTAATACGGTGCTCCACACGAACACTGTAAGCACAAGCAGCATCAAAAGCACAAAACATTATGGCGACAAGATAGATGTTAAACAGCGCAGTAGTTAAGACACAGCCTTGCTTCACACAACAAACTCATCCGAGATCTGTCCACTCAGCTGCACCCTCGCCCGCACACCACTGTGCAGACATTCAATTAAACTTACAAATTTACTCGGACAACCAAACTTACCCAACAACAGCCACAATGCCTCGCGGTTCACCGTATCAAATGCTTTGGTGAAATCAACGGAAAGCGAGTACAACGGCTGGTGTCGTTCTATGCGTTTCTCCTGCAACTGACGAGCTGCAAACACCATATCGATGGTGCTGCGACCCGAACGGAATCCACATTACTCTTCTACCACGTTCGGTTCAACAACCTGACTGACGAGGCGCTTGAGCAGGATTCGGGCAATCACCTTGCCCACACAACTCAGCAAGTTGATGCCACGATAATTCGTGCAACATCGCTGGCTCCCTTTGCACTTATACAGTGGTACTACAAAGGCATCCTTCAGCTCAGGAGGCACCTCCTCAATCCATACGCGTTGCACCAAGGGGTGCAGCGCAGTCACCAACGCGAGTCCGCCGTGTTTCAGTGTTTCAGGCGCGATGCCGTCGGCCCCGTCACGCTTGCCGTTTAGGAGCTGAGCGCATGCTCTCTGCGACTCATCCAGTGTTGGTGTGTCCGCCAGACTCATCTTCACCTCCTGCTGATTGAGGCGGTTCAATGTAGGCCAGTCAATCTCTGAGTGGTTGTTTAAGATAGTCAAAGTGTTTTCGCCAGATCTGCAGTCTGTGTGAAGGTTGCACCTGAGCTACCATCGATTAGCGTCCCCAACGGCTCCAACCTCGGTCCAGTCACTCATTTTCAAGGAGTCAAAGAGTTTCTTGTGTTGACGGCGTTCGGCGTAACATTCCATGTGCCTGACCTACTCCGTCCACCATGCATTTTTAATGCGACGGAACTCTCGGGTAAGTCGCCGTCGAAGTTTGCGAAACTGACTATTCTTCCGCAAGTCACTGGTGTCTGCCACATGTGTAGCAAGTACTGCATTCTTCTCCGACACCACACTCAGCTCCACGCAGTACACGTGTCATGCACACTTCACGTAGATCACACTGACGTACGGTGACATAGTCGTGCAGGTGAGCATGACCACTCCGTGTGTGCCTTCAACTTGCTATATCACTCGCATTCAGTGCAAGCCGAGTGTTCGTGATCGTCAGGCAGCGATTGGCACACAGTAAGAGCTGCCTGTCACCGTTCGCATTCGCTGAACCAATGCCATGCGGACCGATGACATCTGTCCACACCGATGCATCACGCTCAACACGCGCGTTGAAATCACCAAGCAGAAATAGTCG